TATATATATAATAATAATAATATATATATATATATATATATATATATATATATATATATATATATATTATATTTATATATTATATTTATATACAAATATATATATATACAAAGCATTAAACCATTCTTCGCATTCAATCGTCAATCTAAACCCCACGAATTTTAGAATTATTTAATATTTCGGGCGTTTCTGATCGACATTTTATGAAACAAGGGGATCAGATTTTAATCGTGCGTCCTCTGTATACATATCCTAATCCATTCCTCTCACACTAGCTAATTGTTAACCGTTTTGATTTCAATCGAATATGTGCCGAAGCGATCACTGTTACTCGCACTTCAGGTGAGTGGGAGGTACAGTAGTTATCCCGCCACCAAACTACTTTCACCTGTAGCATATTCAGTTTACGTGTTAAATCGAGTTTCGGGCTACGCGAAATCTGTTTTAGGCATCGTACACGCGTAGTTGGATTGAAGTATATCGCTTTGCAATACACAGCGAATATATCGGCTTCTCGTCGGGTGTGGTCCAGGCCCAGTGCTGGAGTCTGGTACGTATGTTGTAATCGGTTCCACCTTAGTGTTTGACTGAGTACGCAATCGAATACTTTGTAGAAAATTTTTCTAATATTCGCAAATTGCACATCATTCGCGTACAACTGAAGAGGCGGCCAGATTTGCAAACACTTTCAGAAGCTGGAAAAACTGGGTATGGTCAAACTGTCGTCTAATGCCGTGTCGAACTCCATAGGCTTGTAGATATCGCTGATCATGGGCTCTCGGTATTCATCCGGATCCTCATTAAGGTGGATGGACGCAGCAGTGACATAAGTAGGCAATGTCGCCATGTTGACTAAGCTAATTATGAGAAGTTTCATTTTGTTCATCCAGACCTCATGTACCACAGGTTGATTCTGTCTGAGCAGACAAACTCTATTGTTGTCAGTCATCAAACTTTCGATTCCGATGGTATTTTAGTGGAGGCTTCTAAATGAATGCATTTCGCAATTGTTGAGTTCATTTGTATAAAATAAGAGTTTACAAATAAAATTACAAGATATACTTTTGTGTAGTCTACGCTGAAAGAAACAACACAGTCAACAGTCAATACTGTATACACAGACTTTCTACTTTACTCTCTCTCTCAGTGTGTGTGTGGAGTGGAGCAGTGGAGACTAGAGAGACAGTAGAGAGAGACTAAAACATATAGCACAGAGGTTTACAAGCAGCCGGCTTTCTATTCTTCATCATGATGTGTGTGAAAACATTGATGAAAATACTTTTCCTACTTTTAAGTTTTGTCATCAGAGGAGTGAGAGCCTGAGAGGACAGTTCGACAGAGGTGGCATTATATTTATAAATATATATTACACATCGCCTTCTAAATTGACAATTTTCAGATTGAAGGCTATATACGATTGTCATTTTTATTTATTTAAAAACAAACACCCCACTGGCCCACTCTCTAGAGAGAGAGAGAGAGTAGGCCACCTCACACCTGTCCCCGCCAAAAACAACATGTAATTTTTTCAAACAACTACCAGTAACACGCTCTTTTGTCATATTAACATGAAAAGTAACTTTTGTAAATTACAGCTGTATCGTGCTGAATGTACTTTCGAGAATGTAAGACAGACTGGAATGTGAACCCTGTGCAAGGGCCATGTGCCTTAGTACATACAGTAAGTAAATATGTTATGTCTTTTATTTAGAAAACAAATTGATTTTTTAAATTTAAAAATAAATAAAAGAAGCATAACAAAAAACGCTATTTGGTTTGTTTTTATAAAAAAAGGTGAAAAACATTTAAAAATAAATAAAATAGAGAAGTGTATTATCATAGCCTTCTTGTATAATTTATACATTTTTAATAGAGGACTGTGGTATTTTTGTATTTGTGTATTTTGTATCGTTCTTGTGTATTTCCAGTTAAAAAAAAACAATATTGAAAAGTCAAGAGGCTAAATAGACTTTTGTTTTTAAAAATAAATAAAAGAACAAAAAATATATATTGTGTACGTATGTAAATAATTCAGACTTCTTGAGTTCACGACTAAAAAAATGATACTCTGCGGACAACTCACAACCGACAGCGTCACAGCCGCGAGCCGTCGCCTGTCAGTGCATTGTTAAAAATGACTGAGAGTTTGTACTTCGGCATCGTCAAAAGCAAAATTATCATCAGTCAATTGATAGTGCACAGCTGTAATGAAATATGTACAGTCATCACAGCACCCACCGGTCGCTAACTCGTCGGTCATGTCGGTTATGTTGGTTACCAGTGTATCAACATTAGTATATTATTGTATATCCGTATGGGATATCAAATTCAATCACACAGACACTACACACACACGCAATTTGAAGCAAACAAGACAGAAAAGGAGAAGAGGAGAGAGAGTAGATTCAACACGTGGGAAATGTACAGACCAGATGGTTGAGGCTCAAGGAGTACTCTTTCTTCCATGCTCTTGACCTATGAGCTGTCAACGTCACGTTATTGTGCTTGTTACATTACTGCTGGGGAAAAAACAAACAAAATTATAGCTCCCGAGTTTCCGACCCCCAGACCCCAGTCCCCTACCTGAATTCTCGGACTTTGAGAATATTTTGGATGCCTATGCACTCTCAGAGGAAAAAGGAAGTAAAATACAATGGACAATTATTTATTATTAGTCTGCAGGACTGTGCTTCCTTCCCCCTTCCTCCACACACACCCCTGGAATATGGATTGTACCACTCTAATTTCGCTGCGCAACAGCTGAACAGCGCCCTTTGTATTGGTTTATATATATATATATATA